CACCCCACCTCTCCTTACCTCCTCCACCCGCCTGACACACATGCACACTGACCTAACCTCCCCCCCTCTTGTCTCGGCTCCAAGGAAATTTACTGCCACCAAAATTGGGTTAAAATTCTGTTTTTCTCTTCCCTTCTGCAGCCCCTGTGTAGCAAACAAGCAGATAATGACGGCCTGGCTGGTTTTGCTAGTTCGCAGGACATCAAAAGACACTTCGGATTGCCTGTGGCTGTCCGTGAAACGAGAAATTCTCTTTAAAAAAAAAAAAAGAAAGAAAAGAAAATGTTGAATGTGTTTATAAAGTTGCCACTTTCGGAGCGGGCGGGGAAGCAAAACAACCTTTTTGTTTATTTGTTTAGGAGTGTTAATCACCAAAAGGGCTATTAGTAGGGTGTAATTAAGTGAAAGAGGAGGAAATATCTTTTTTTTTATTAGCCTCTAGGTTCACTTATGGTGATTATTCCATAATCCTCTTTGCTTTGTGTGTGTGTGTGTGTGTGTGTGTGTGTGTGTGTGTGTTTAAACTTTATTTACAATGGGTAGGGGAGCTAGAGAGCTGGCTGAGGCTTCACGCTCCATGCTCCCTTTAAAGGGCTCCTGTAGTATTAATAGTCATGAATTGGTTCACACCTACTCGGCTATGGTGAGTTGTCATTTTTTCCCTTTTTTTTTTTTTACTTGAATTCCGAATTTTTTTCCCCCTTTAACGCCTTTGGCTTCGTAATTTAGGGCAATAATTACACAGTGCAGCTGGATTCTCCTGCTTGGTGTAAGGTGGACCGCATTCAGCTGTGGAGGGGGGGAAGAGTAGCTTAGCGGATTTTGCTTTTGGCGTTTTGGACTTGGACTCCTTTTTTCCCCTTGTTTTTTAGTATGATGTTCTCAGTTTAATGTTTTTATTTTCAATTTTTATTTATTATTTTACTTTAAATATGCAATTACTTTTTCCACCTTTTTTATATTATTTTACGTTAAATATTCAATTGCCTTTTCCCCCCTTTTTTTAAATATTATTTTACTTTAAATATTCAATGGCTTTTTTCCTTCTTTTTTTTATATTATTTTACTTTAAATATTGGTTTTTTTTTTTACTTTTTGCAATATTTTCTGAATTGTTTTTAGTGTCATTTGTACTGTTGTAGGTTGAACTGTGTTTTTAGCTTCTTCTTTTTTTTTGCTAGGAAAAACTAATTTTGACTTTACAGTTTTTATAGTATATTGTTTCAAGCCCATATGAGTTTAATTACCTTGAGATTAAGATTTCACAGCTTTCAAGATTTTTCTTTTTTTTTAGTTTTGTGACCAGCTCACCGAGTGAAATTTGATTTAACACAAACGCCGTTTGCCTCTTTTTTTTTTATTTTTTATTTCATATTAAAATATTTGCCTACAAATATTTTTTACATTACTTTGCAAGTTCATCTTAGAAGCAGTTTTTTTTACATTTTATTTTTATTTGTTTTGGGTTTTTTTGGCATGTAAGCGGTATAGTTTGCTGATGGGTTATAATATGAATGTGGTGGCTGACATTTGTAAAAGGTTACCAAGTGGGGCACTGTCTGAATATTTTTGCTATTAATATAAGATTGATCCGGGAAGAAATTGTTGTTTTTGTTTCTTTTTTTGCCATGCATGTGGTTTATTTTGCTGATGGGTTATATGTTAAGGTGGCGATTGTGATGCGCAAAATGTTATTGAATGGGTCAGCAGTTGCCTTTGAAAAAGAAAAGTTGATCCAATGAGCAATTTTCTTTTTTTGTTTTTTTTTGGGCATGTAGGTGATCTATTTTATTGACTTGGGTTGTAGGATATGTGTTTTAGGATATGGGTTATGGGATATGGCTTGTAGGCTATTGCTTGTAGGCTATGGGTTGTAGGCTATGGATTGTAGGATATGGTTAGGATATGGTTATGTGATATGGGTTGTAGGACATGGCTTGTAGGATATGGGTTGTAGGCTATGGATTGTAGGATATGGTTAGGATATGGTTATGTGATATGGGTTGTAGGACATGGCTTGTAGGATATGGGTTGTAGGATATGGTTATGGGATATGGGTTGTAGGACATGGCTTGTAGGGTATGGGTTGTAGGCTATGGATTGTAGGTTATGGTTAGGATATGGTTATAGGATATGGGTTGTAGGACATGGCTTGTAGGGTATGGGTTGTAGGATATGGTTATGGGATATGGGTTGTAGGACATGGCTTGTAGGGTATGGGTTGTGGGATATGGTTATGGGATATGGGTTGTAGGACATGGCTTGTAGGGTATGGGTTGTAGGCTATGGATTGTAGGATATGGTTAGGATATGGTTATGTGATATGGGTTGTAGGACATGGCTTGTAGGATATGGGTTGTAGGGTAGGGGTTGTGGAATATGGGTTGTAGGGTAGGGGTTGTGGAATATGGGTTGTAGGGTATGGGTTGTGGAATATGGGTTGTAGGATATGAGTTATAGGTTATGTGTTTTAGGATATGGTTATCGGTTGTAGGGTAGGGGTTTTAGGCTATGGGTTGTAGGCTATGGGTTGTAGGCTATGGGTTGTAGGATATGTATTGTAGGATATGGGTTGTAGGCTATGGGTTGTAGGATATGGATTGTAGGATATGTGTTGTTTTTTAGGGTGGTGGTTGTGCATTGGAAAGGGTTATTGAGTGGGCCATGGTGGTTCTGATTTGGACGGGGATTTGTTTCTTGAGACGAAATGACAGAAATGTTGACTTGTGTTGCAGGACCGCCATGATGGTGTCCCCAGCCACAGCTCCAGGCTGTCCCAGTTGGGCTCGGTGTCCCAAGGACCCTACTCCAGTGCCCCTCCGCTGTCACACACACCATCCTCGGACTTTCAGCCCCCCTACTTCCCACCGCCATACCAGCCGCTGCCCTACCACCAGAGCCAGGATCCCTACTCCCATGTCAACGATCCTTACTCCTTGAACTCCCTGCACCAGCCCCAGCAGCACCCCTGGGGCCAGCGCCAGAGGCAGGACGTCGGCTCAGACGGCGGATCTCTCCTACCCCAGCCCAGAGCCTCTCTGCCTCAGCTGTCTGGACTCGACCCCAGGAGGGACTACCACTCTGTCCGGCGCCCAGATGTCCTGCTGCACTCCGCTCACCATGGCCTGGACTCCGGCATGGGGGATGGCCTGTCCCTGCATGGACTCGGGCATCATGGCATGGAGGACGTCCAGGTACGTATCAGGTCACCCCTGAGAGTGCCACGGAGTGACTTATACACCAAGAAAACTGCAAATATGTTACAATTATTGTCTATATCGCAGGAACATTTATTGCACCGCCGTGTTATGTTGTACTGCATACAATTAGATACATTTCACATTATATTATATTATAACATGGGTATGTCTTGGTGCTATGTTGTACTGCATAGGTTGAGCTATGTTCTCTATATATTATAACATGGGTATGTTTTGGTTTGATGTTTCTTCCTAAAATATAGTAATTTATTTTTTACAATGAAAGAAAGAAAGAAAGATTGGATGGATTGATACAATAGTTAGCTAATAGAAAACATAGAGACAAATAGATCGATAGATAGATAGATGATAGATAGATAGATGATAGATAGATAGATAGATAGATAGATAGATAGATAGATAGATAGATAAATCATAATAGAGCGAACAAGAGCTAAGACCTGGTTAAATAGAAGGAACGAAGGAAGAAAGAAAGAAGGAAAGAAAGAAAGAAAGAAAGAAAGAAAGAAAGAAAGAAAGAAAGGAAGGAAGGAAGGAAGGAAGGAAGGAAGAAAAAGAAAGAAAGAAAGAAAGAAAGGAAGGAAGGAAGGAAGGAAGGAAGGAAGAAAGAAAAAGAAAGAAAGAAAGAGCAGATAAATAAATGAATAAGAAAGAAAAAGAAAGAAAGAAAGAGGAGAGAAAAGGCAGAGAAATAAATGAATAAGAAAGAAAGAAAGAAAGAAAAAGAATAGACAAGTAAATATATATATACTAATAGAAAGAAAGAAATAGATAGACTAAAGAAAGAAAGTTTGCCAGAGAGTATACACTACTGCATGGGTTTAGCTATATTTCACTATATAGTAGATTATAAGATGGGTATGTATCGGTCTGATGTCTCTTCCTAAAATAAATTAAACTGAAGAGAAAGAGTCAGAATGATGGAAATAAAACAGAAATACATGAAGATTAATGGAGAGATAGATAGATAGATAGATAGATAGATAGATAGATAGATAGATAGATGATAGATAGATAGATAGATAATAGATAGATAGATAGATAGATAGATAGATAGATAGATAGATGATAGATAGATGATAGATAGATAGATAGATAGATAGATAGATGATAGATAGATGATAGATAGATAGATAGATAGATAGATAGATAGATAGATAGATGATAGATAGATAGATAGATAGAGAAATAGATGGATGGATGGATGGAGAGAGAGAGAGAGTAAGTTGGTGATGTTCTGTGTCTGGTTTCCATGTCTTCTTCTGGATCACACGTCCATGTACAATACACAGATGGGCGGACTACAAGTACTAGTCATGTGACATATCATTTTATCAGGATGATATAAGTGACACGAGACGCTCCGCTGACACTTGTAGTTCCGGTTCTCTGGTTTGCATTGTGTGTAATGGCATCAGATGATACATAACGTCTGAACTCCGAATGTCCCTGCGAACACGAAGTCAGATTTGATTTTAGGGACAAGGTAACATCATCAGACGACCCCCCGCCCCCCTTCCCTGTTATAGATATTCTGTAATAACGGATCACATTAAATACAGATTTCCAGACTCCTTTTTTGGCGTCAAATGTGCAATTTATGGAAAAATAAAATGCAGCGATGGGGTTGTTTTCACCAATAACAGGAAAATGTTCTTTTTTTTTTCCTCTTCTCATCATTCGAACAACAAACACGGGCAATCCCTGACATTTAATTCAGCGTTGTAATGCGTTTAGTTCTGCCACACTGCATGCATACATCGCCAATTGAATCCTTCCCATGAAAGGAAAGCCACAAGTCAAAACAAGCTTGTAGAAACGCCATCATGAACCAAGTCAGCTTGTGTCTTGTAATAATAAAAATACAAAAAAATAACGCATGCGCTCTGAAATAGAAAAGTTGCTGCGTGTCATGCCAGCGTGCGACACTCGGCTTCACCTGCGTTTCTGGCCTGGCACAAGATCTAGGGGGTGCCAGTCACACCCCCTCCGTGCCAACCTGAGACCCGGGAACCCTCCTTGCATGCTTTTAAAGTGAAGAAGTGTAGTAATTAAAAGTCTCAGTTGTTTGTGCCATATTTCTGCGTGCAGTCCTAATTAAATTTTTACGATGCTCTCAGTGACTATTAAGTGCCAACATGCTGGGTACACATCCCGAACAAAAACCCAGCAGGCGATTGTAATTAGATAGAATATCAGACAGAAGTCCTCATTAACTACAACGACATGAGCAC